GAGGACGATCTGCGATGCTCCGGTGAACGTCTGGTTCTGCTCCTTCGCGTAGGCTCCTTTGGTGAAGGTGTTGTGGTACGTCGTAGAGTGTGTGATCCTTCGCGCAGGCTTCCTCCTTAGCACAGGCTTCCTCCTTCGCACAGGCTTCCTCCTTCGTGCAGGCTGCTATCTTCAGTGGGATGTGATCTGCAGGCTGCTTGTCCTTCGCTCAGGCTCGATGTAGATGGGGTCTCCGTCGCTGCTTTCTCCTGCGCGAATCTCCGTTCCATCAGCTCTGCGACGACGACTGCTGCTGCTGCACTGCGGACGACGCATCTGAGAGTACCGAGGCTTCTCCCAAGGACTGCTGCACTTGTGACGATCTGCCATCTCTATCTGATGTCTGCGTTGATAAAACGTCTGACTGCGTTGAGATGACTGCTGATGTTACTGTATATGAAGACCTCGTCTTTTTCCTCACTGGCACTTCAGGGATGAGGATGGGTGGCTCATCATATACGTCTACTTCTTTGACTGCGATGAGGTTATAGTTGATGTAGACGACCTCTTCTTGGAGCCAGAGCTGCCATTAGTCACAGCGACCTGCTCCGCAGACGCAACAACAACCGGTTATCAACGCAATCATTTGGTTTAGACATGAGTTGTGAAAGTCGTCTAGACCTGTCCTTGGCAAGCCTAATAATGGAATATAAATAATTATTAAATTCAAATTCAGATAAATGTTGACAAAGTTGACAGCCAAAGCTGGAAGAACATGGAGAAGTACAATTAGGACATATTAAATGCGGATCAGCAAACGACAACCAGTATCTGCAACGACTGCAAGTTTTCATCAAATATAAACACGATGAAAAACATGTCAACAACGTGAATAAATACATATAATTTGGACAAAATTTCAAACCATATTGTTGGTATATCAATCCTAAAGCCGTATACAGCTAATTTAGTAGCAGAGGCCTAAAAATTAAAGGATATAACGCCGTATAAGTGACCCAGGCGCTCTCACAACGGTCCTCAAGGGCGAAGGAGAGAGTGAGGGGTATGTCGGATCATGTGACACATTTTCCCGCCAAAAGAGTCTAATGGGAGATATGTCCGCTTTTTTGAAGGGAGATTCAAAAGGGGATTCAAGTGTTCCACTATCATTCCCAAGAAGAAAGAGACAAGCAATTAAACATGAGTCAGGATAAGGAAAAATAATACACTTCAACTGAAAAATATATACATGGACATTAATCAAGCACCACCCACTTTGGTCACCATGACTACACCACCACTTTGATTAACACACTGTGCCTGTGCCTCCTGCGGATAACATGTGCCAGTGACCTCCTCACACCGCAATCAAGGGTTGTATTTTCCGCATCTGAATACTCTGCCATTTCTCATGGCGTGCTTGTGTAGATCCTGAACAGGAGAAGCTCTAGATAGAAGTTGACGTCCAAGATAGTTTTAAAGATGTTCGATGAGGGTTCATATCGGGCTCCATGGCAATGTCACACAAAACGTAACTCGACACCATCACTGGCCAAAGGGTTCATCTCTCGGTGACATGCCTCATTACGTCCCCATACGCAACAACGGCCATCGGTTACTTGTAGAAGATAGCAACTTTCATCATCAGAACAATGAACCCTACGCCATATCCTTAAATTGGTGTTTTCTGCCTGTACCACGCCACGTGCTCCTGTCCGTATCTATCTGTAAGAGAGATAGCAGATAGCGTTCCCTCAGACCAGAGTTGTACATCTCTCGATTGCCATCGCAGTTTTTCAGCACGGGCATGGGATTGTGTCTTGCCAGACGATTTGGGACGGCAATTGGTCTTTCAGGTCTAGGATGATCCTTTGCTTCACCAGTGGCCACGTGCTGCGTCTCAAGTCGACTTATATCCGTGTGGTTAATCAACCTGTCACCGATTTTGCGACAGGACATGCCTGTGTCATGCATGGCAGAAGCTTGACATTGCGTATTTTCTGAACACATGCGTCTTGCAGTGTGAAGGAAGTTTAATTTGTAGTTCTGCAGCTGTCGTCAATTAAATCAGTTCCAAAAGCCGTATTGCACATACAACTATGAAATATATACTCACCAGCATTGAAAACGCACCACTTACAAAAGTTGAGATTATTAAAAGCATGTGGAAGCAATTGATATTTTTGTTGGATAATAACAGATGGACGACTGACAAAAACAACACAGAAAAGACGCTCATTCATTTGTTTGTTTCACAGTCAGAAAGAATCAAACACATGTTGGGTTAAATCGAAAAGTCAGTATTGCGTGTGACCGCCATTTGCATTAACACATGCAGTGCAACGTCTCCTTAATGAGTCAATAAATGCCCGAATAGTGTCCTTGGGGATGGCATTCCACTCATGTAGTACTGCAGCCTCAAGTTCCCCGATGTTTCGCATCTGTTGTCGCCAAGAAAGAGGTTGACCAATATCGTCCCACAAGTGTTCAATAGAGGATAAATCTGGCGACAGTGCTGTCCAATGAATTACTGGGATGTGTTGCTGGGCCAGACACGGCATGGAAAGCCTAGCTGTGTGTGCCCGTGCGTTGTCCTGTTGAAAAGTATGGATACATTGGTGGAGACTGAAGAGCTTGTGATTGTAACTTCTTCCACTTCAGACCATGACACTACAACCACCCAAACAGTCTGTCTGAACTACACACTCATCAGCATAACGTTTACGTCTACGCCAAACACGTAATCGGCCGCCAGCATTACGTAGGTGAAAACGTGACTCGTCAGAGAATACCACACCATGCCGTTGTTGTAACCTCCATTGAGCATGCCTGTTAGCCCATTATATACACCCACTACGGTGTCTGTCAGTCAGAATTGGTCCAATGTAAGGACGTCCAGCATTGAGCCCTGCAGCGTGTAGACAGCGTCGCACGGTGTCGGCGCTGTTGACCCCATGTCGACCTTGAACTAGTGCCAATAGTCCTGGCATTCAGCAACGTTTGATCAGGGATATGGTCGCGGACAATATGGCGATCCTGATGGGCATCGTGAAACGTTGTTGCCAAGTTCGTGGAAGGTCACGGGTGCTGCCCGTCTGCTGATGTCATCTATGAAGCCTAACGATGGTTGAGTGGCTATATTCAAGTCGTCGAGCAATATCTTTACAGCTGGTACCAACCTGAATCATGCCTTGTGCACGCTTTCTTTCCTGAGGTGTTAACCTTGGCATGTCTGTCATCGTTTCACAGTCGAGCGTGAAGCAATGGGAACCTGCTTGTAGGGTCACAGTCAGCATGATTTCAGAATGAAATCATGTCGTTGTGTTTTGGATTTAACTGTGAACAAGGACCTGTTTCTAAAACATTTTTTTCAACTAGACATGCCCTGTGACTTATTGTTATCCATATTCATTGATACTTGTCATGCTGAAATCCATTTTGATAAACATGGACAATTTTATACTGGTGTGTTTTCAATGCTGGTAAGTATATAGTATGACCAGAAATTATTGAGAATTTTAGGAATAGGTTTAATTGGATTTCTAGTATAAACAACCTTGACCAACTATCAAGTGCCTGGTTACATTCAAGAGAGACAACTCCGTTAATCCTTTTTCATTAGTTTGTGAAGGGTTATCCCCCTTTGTTTACTTGCTAGCAGACGACATTTTCAGTGATACTCAGTATGGATGATTTAGAGAAGAGGAAGTTGATTTTAAAATAGAGTATTATAACAAGGACATCAGATCAGCTAAAGTGATTTCAAGTAGAACAGGCATCCCTTTGTCCACTGTTTATCGTGTTTTGAAAAATATTGCAAATGGATATGGCAATGAGCACCAGGGAGGCGCAGGTAGGTGCAGAAAATTGACTGTCAGTGACAGGAGGCGGCTTGGTATTCTTGTGTCTAAAAACAAACAAAGGAGTTTAGAAAACTTAAGGCTGGATATGATTGATAGAGGAACTGTGGCTGTCTGTAAGGAGACAATTAGAACTGAGCTGCATGCAATGGGTTGGCAGAAAAGTCGAGGAATTCCATCACCGATCATGAAACCTGAACAAAAGGAGAGAAGGTTGAACTGGTGCTTACAGCATAGAAATTTTAACTGGGACAATGTGATTTTCTCAGATGAAAGTTCTGTGTGGCTGTTTCCTAATACACTGACATTCTGGACCAAACAAACTGAAAAACCTTTGTATCAGCACCCAAAGTACAGTCCAAAATTTAACGTGCAGGGTGGCATATCTGTGTTAGGGGCAACGCCCCTCTGTGTATTTGAAGGGCATATGAACAGTGAGCGGTACACAGATATTCTCGAGGGACATTTACTTCCATCTGCTCATGTGTTCTATGGAAATGTTTGGATTTTCCAGCAGGACAACGACCCAAAACATCGTTCAAAGCATTCACTGGCCTGGTTTCGGACCCAAAATATGACATTATTAGATTGGCCAAGCTATAGCCCTGACCTAAATCCAATAGAAAATGTTTGGGGACTTATGAAGGAAAGTGTCAATAAGAAAAATCTGACAAATATTGCTGAAATGAAAGAAGAGGTGGTCCGATATTGGGACAGCATGGACCACGACTTTCTAACTAGTATGCCCCACCGCATTGAAGCCTGCATTGCTGCCCATGGTGACTTGACAAAATACTAACTGTTCACCTGTCTTTCAATCTCGAGTTATGTTCTGCTAATATTCACATTTAATACGTGAGTAATAAGTGAAAAAAATTACAATCTTTTAATTTTCAATAATTTCTGGTTGTACTGTATATACCCCAATGTGCTTAATGCCTTCACAACAGGTGAACACCCAATCATCAACTTTTGTGCGAATCACAGGTTTTTGCATGTACCTTCTGTATGGCAGATACAATGTACCTGTTTGGTTAAAAATTCTAAAAAAAAGCGCTTGGATTCATGTGGTGCTTGATCAATGCTCGTGTGCATAGTAAGAATTTAGTGTAAAGGACACTTTGTTCAAGGTCCTTACGCATTTTTTATTTACAGCAGAGCTTTAAAATTGATACACGTCTTTTATTTTTTATAAAATTTCGAGGTTCATGCAACTTTCATACATATCAACATCCTTCTCAATTGGTGCCTTGTTTGAGGCAGTAGCACCTGTACAGGTATCCTGCAGTGAAAGTGAGCAAAAGAAATTCGAAGTAACACAGTCCATGCCCTCTTCAAAGAACAAAGTTAGCCCATATTAATGAAGACTGAAATTTGAAATTTGCCTGCCAAGATGCACTCTCAAGCACTAAAATGTGGTGGTGCTGACACCACTGTCGTTGCCTGAAAATTAAGTGTTTTTGTTTCAATCTGTTTTGTCTGACTCGAGGCTTCTCCATCAGGATTCTTCATTCATTTTGTATTGCCAGCCATGTACAGTAACATCCTTAGCATGGACAAACACAGAATCAGACATTCTTCCATACTGTTTTTTCAGTATTAGGACTATACCATCTATTAATTCAACTTAATATTAGAAATAGTGTCACAGATTATACTGAGGCAACTTCTCTTGAATCTGTCTGGTGAATATAGTAAAAGTGGCTGCACAGCCTACTGTGACATGAAACAGCACTTGTACACTAGTTCTATGTTCCCACAGATACAGTTGACAAAGGCAGATACTTCCGAGTGTAGCACAGGCCAGAGGCTTCCTCATGCTGGTTGGGCAGCTCATCAAGTACACCTGCAGTAAAGCAGAGTTATGTAAGTGAACACGATTCCTCCACCCAAATGGCACTGATGGTAGCAGCATGAGGATGCCGAAATCGGCAAGATCAACATTCTATGGACTAAGTGTTTTACACATCATGCAAGTCGATTTTCTGAAAAGAGGAGAGAATGTTCAATTTCATGCCAAATTACAACACCCTTGACCCTAAGCACTTGGGCTATAACCTGGCAAAATACAATAACTTATGACATGTATCTAGATTGTGAAGTTGCAACATCAAGCATGTACAGACAGATATTGACTTTTGTGTCAAAAAAGATATCTTGGTCATGTTAACGCATGTTAAAGACATGGAATCCTCCTGAGATGTATTGCTGGAGGATATATCGGGATTTCCCTTTAGTTCGGCGCCAAAAACTTTATAAAAGACAGAATAATCAATATCAAATATCTGGTACAGGGCAAGGTACAAAATGTCACACACTGTGGGATGGAATAAACATAGGAATAAACTTTGTTTATCATATATAAGTGAGTCAGTCAAATTGGAGTAAAACTACCCTATGTGTGCTGAATAAAGAACTTGCTGAAACAAATGACCAAGCTGCTGGATTGATAGATAATGCACATGATTGTGTGTGCTAAGTTTAATGGCACCTGAAGGCCCCAATAGATTCCAACCAGCCTTGTGCTGGAGTTATGGTGATATCTGTGTCAGACTTAGTCTTGGAAGAGATAAATGGCCTCTTCCTTCGCTGAAGATGAAGGTCAAGTAGAAGGCTCTGATTGGAGATAACAGACTGGAATATGGCAGTTCCTATGGCCTACAGGACCCAAGGTAGTTGACTGATTCATAGCGTCCAAGTCAGGAAAGATGTAAAGATGAAGTGACCATTAAGTAGAAACAACTACAACATTTCCACATCTGTCAAAAATGGGCTAAAATCAGCGTCAACAGTACAAATCTGACTATATCATGAGTAGGTGTTTCTTTGTGTACGGCCTCTCTCAGAAATAACTATAAACTAAAACTCTGTCTTTCTACTGTTATGTCACCTGGAATGTCTTGCCTTCTATTTGGCAGTTGTCTGAATCTGCCAAAGCATGCAACCGAAAAATTTCTGTCATCAAGGATGGGGACCTGGGCCCTGTTCCACAAAGCAATCTTAGAAGTGAGGCAATCATAACTTCCATACTTTAACACTAGCCTACGAAGGTCGTAGCACTAAGACCACCTTGTGAAATGGGTCCCTGGTTTCCCCTTGTTTCTGTGATGCTATATCCTGAAGCTTTCAGAATTGAGGAACTGAGTAGTAGATCTTTCCAAATCAATATTGGATAAAAAATGACTTCATTTTCCAGCAATGGATATGAAACGTTCTTTCCAGCAAAGTCCAGTACATGGTAGTAATAGTACATTTGAGCTCCCCAACCCAAGTCTGAAGCATTGGTGAACATATTGTAGTCCGCAGGAAGATAACTGGTGGTAATATCAAGTGATCTTTGAGTGTCCACCAAGATGGTTTGGACGGAAGTGGAGCAGCATCTACCATCTGACTCACTGGAGATATTGGAATTATGTCTTGTTGATCATCTGGACTAAATTGTTGAAATGATATTCCAGTGAAAAGGTGTCCCAAGTCTGGCCAAAACTGAGCCCCAATACAGACATTGTTCTGGGTTGGTGTAAGTTCTGACTTGTCAGGAGGGACAAGAAAGCCCAGACATGTCATTAACTGTGACAGGAATTGCTGATCTAGTGATTTTCTAGGGTTATTTCAGCAAGAAATTAGTCCAGATAACTACGGAGACGTAGATAAGCAACATATGCATGCATCACAGGGGCTGTTATTCTGGTATAAAGCATTGGAGCAATCAATGTGCCACATTTTAGTAAACAACAGTTGTTTACTGTGAGGTGAAGATATGTTTGAAATATCAAAGTCAGTCTCCTCTTCCACAGCCACAATCCTCTCCATGATGTGAGGTGAGCTACTCACAGGGCTCATATTTAGATCATTAGCACAATGGAGGTCAGGCAGTAAAGGGTTGACCTCCATGTCAAGAGGTTCATATGGACTATGAACCCAATGTAGTTCAAAATGAATTTTCATGCTTTTTCTACTAACTACTGTGATTGAAGAACTTCTATTTCAGAGGTGAGGTGAGGTGAAATTGGGTTTAACGTCGTGCTTGAGAATATTTCGCTCATATGACGACGTGCATGCGTGTATATGGGTGTGTGCGGCTGCTTGTACTAGCCAGGACTGACGCTGGTTTTATAGTGCTAGCCCACTGAGATACCATGCCGCAGTGAAGCACCCCACTCAGACACATTATACTGACTCCGAGCCAACCAGTCCTTGTTGTACACTTTAATGCCGAGGGCCAGGCAGGGACCAACAAGTACCATATTTTAACGTCTTTTGGTATGACGTGGTCGGGGATCGAACCCGCGATCTTCCGCTCTCCTATTTCAGAGGCCGATGTGGAACTGAAGCAACTATATCAAGGGTATTTTACTGTTTAACACAAAAAATAGATACTTAGGTTGTTTTCGTTGAAAATTGCCAAGAGCGTAGCTGTCTATGTTCTGCTTGAGGAAGAAGGGGATTCAGATTGTACTAACTAATTTGCATTATGATATAACATATTGTTTGTGCACTTGATTTTGAGCCATTTTGTTTCCAGTAAGAAAAATATAACAAGGTTCTAGAAGGCCAACACACATTAGCTGGAAATATGGGATGGGGAGGTAGGTAGGTCATTGTCAATCTGGACAAAATAAAATCTAAAGTATTCTTTCCATAATAGTGTTTTGACGATAACACATTAGGAATATTCATGTTTGAGTGGTCCAATTATACATTTTTTTATCATGTTTTCCATTCCTCAAGTCAATATCAATCAAGACATATTTACCTGATAACCAAAGAATAAGAAGCATAGGAAAAAGGCAACAGCATACTGGAATGTTTCACTGTCTAGGCTCTGAAACGAAATTCATAAAATCCACTATTTATGATAAATATGCCAATAATCAACATGAATCTTCATGAACAAAAAAAGGAAAAGTTTACCAGAAAATTGACTCATTTCATTCTTTGTGAAATCATGAATAATCAGTGATATCACAAGTTGTTTTTGAGTGTCCACTGCACAAAATATACTAGAATCAATGTGAGAAGAAAGGATAACAACATGTCAGGTAATTACCAAGCTAATTAATAAAAGACATTATTTCGGATACCTATCAGCTATATTTGTTTGATGCTAACAAAATATATCACAGCATGTCTCTTAATGAAATATGGGATAAAGCTCACAATAAGTAGAAAAGTTACCCTGCTTGTTTAATATGATTAAACCTTGAAATTGAATATCAGGGGCAAATAATAAACACTGAAAATCATTCATCAACACAAAAGCATTCCAATAGAAGTTCCATCTTGTTGTGTAGGTGCAACCTCATCAGTAACATGCACTGGGGACACATTTCAAGGAACATGCTGTATTTTTCATTAACTTTGGTAACTGAAGATGACATTTTCTACAAAAGCTGATACAACAGCTTGTGTGGAAAAAAACAATGAAGAACCACAAATATTTTAGCACAATGGCTAATACCAAATATGAACAAGATGAATACCTAATATGAATTCCCATATGTACATGTATCAGGAGTTATTAGTGTGGGTAGAATAAAGCAACCACATGGGAGCTTGGTGAACAAACAAACCAGCAATGCAATTGTCAGACTGCAGACAGGTATCCAAGGTAGCCAAGTTTCACCAAGAAACATTACAAGACTATTGAACCATTATCAGATTCAGGGGGGTCAACATCTACCTACACAAATCCAGTCGACCACATGTCACAACTGCAGGGCAGGAAATATTCATACTGGGCCACCTCTGCAGCTACAGCAAACCACCTTTGTGTAGTTTGTGTAGTTTTCATCCTGGACAGCCGCCGTGATATTGCTGGAATATTGCTAAAAGCGGCGTAAAACTAAACTCAGTCAGTCATCCTGGACAGTGAGGAACCATCTTGCCTGAGATGAGCAGGTGTTATCCTGCCTGGTGAGCATGGTCAAGGATGCAGAGTATGGCCACAACAGTGAGTGAGTGAGTTTAGTTTTATGCCGCACTCAGCAATATTCCAACTATATGGCAGCGGTCTGTAAATGATCGAGTCTGGATCCAGTGATCAACAGCATGAGCATTGATCTACACCACTGGGATACGATGGCATGTGTCAATCAAGTCAGCAAGCCTGACCACCCGATCCAGTTAGTCGCCTCTTAGTAAGCATGGGTTACTGACGATCTACACTAACCCAGATCTTCACAGGTCGTATGGCCACAACAGTGATGGAAACAATGCCTAGCAGTTCTGGAATCTCATAGGGGCTGTACAAGATACTAAAACAGATGACCTCCACCTTGAACAATTTATTATGATCTGTTGATTATTAATATAATACAGAGAGTATACATTCTGAAACCACTTTTTTTTTTGGCAGAGTATGGTGGACATTAATCAGTATACAGCAGTCTACTTGAAGCTTGTATTGCTTACATCTATATGGCCATCGTTCATGACGCTGACACCACGGGTGAGATTGAGCAATGAACACAGTATATTCAGCCCCACTGACAGCCAGCCATATAGGTCAAGTGACACAAAATGCCGCTCTGATGAAGCTGTAAACAAACATTATCAAAATATTATGTATGTCTAAAATAGTTTCATTCAAACATCATGAACTGAACCAAATTGATTTCTACATAACCTATTACACAATGTCATGATATATATGCTTACTCTCCCTCCCCTCCCTCCCACATACACACACTAACCCATGTATGTATAGTCAAAATATCTGCTGACCATAGATTCTTTTAAAAAAGCGACCAGTCCAAATGTTCCAGAAACTTCCAGATTAATCTTCACGCCAAGTCTAAATGTAGTACATGCAATTCATACATAACTGCCCTTTACTGAATCTTATCAGGAACAATAAAATGCAACCGCAAGACTGTTTTACATTGAATTACACTGCCACATAACCACACATGAAGTGTTTTTTTGTGCTTGTTGCAAATATGTAATTTTCTGAATAAAAATGGAATTTTATACTTATCCTGACTCATGCTCTTTTTGCTTGTCTTCTTCTTCTTGCGAACATAGTGGAACACTTGTATCTCCCTAATTGAAGCTCCCTTCAATTTAAAATCACTAATCAATACTCACCAAGAGTTACCTCTCTTTGCTCCCCTTTTGGCGGGAAAGGTGGCGCCACCACATCCCACATGCTTCACTCTCTCCTGTTTAACGAGCCCGACACTTGAATTTTCAGGGAAATCCAAAAGTGTCATGTGGGGAGGATGGGAGGGCTTACCTCATGAGTCAGGATAAGTATAAAATATCAATTTTATTCAGAAAATTACATATTTTTCCTTATCCTGACTCATGCTCTTTTGCTTGTAGAATCCGACGGAATCGGAGGTGGGAACAGATACTTTGGATTTTAATTAGTGATTTAGATGTAATAGCCCCCTACGGGAACTTCATAATGGCACTGTAATTAAATTAATTTCTGCTGCTATCATACATAAGTTCTACCAGCTGCCATAGATGGGGGTACTACAATATTAAAATAATATAGGAATAAGCGACTCCAAAGTGGAGAAGGGACCCAATAGTACATGTAACATAGGTACTGGGTTTTAAGACTAATGTAGGCTTAAGATATACAACTAGCAAAAACTCCGTAAGAGTTTGTAAGCTTGATAAATACTGATATAGTATATACAGATATAATCTCGTGAGACTATGTCTCATTGTCTACGAGGAACTGTCAACTGCTGTGCTAAAACCAATGGTCCGAAATGGTGAATACCTGAGACGTCCTCGGTGGCGATGTCTCTCAGGTAGTGGTTAGCAAACACCATGTCGGATTTCCAAAAGCAGCCCTCCATAATGGTATTTAACAAAGCAATTTCCATGTAGAGCGAGTGTCGAAGCCAGTGCTCAGATTTCATGAGGATTAGATGCTCTTGGAGGGTCGAGTCCTGCAGCCTTGTAGGCTCGAAGTATGACAGTTCTGATCCATATCGATATCGTGGTACGTGAGACTTCGGTCTCAGTCGCTGTAGATAGAGGGATGAATAACCGCTTGAGTTTTCTTCGCCTCGTTTTGGATCGTTGTAAATAAACTTTGAGTGCTCTCACTGGGCATAATGATAGATCAAGCGTATCATGAGGTCCGAGTATCGAGGAATGTGCAGGGACGTGGAATAATCTGTCTGGTTGACCTGGCATTTGATTCTTGGCCATAAAGTCCCATCGCAGTCCCATATGCACTGTGTTTTGATTCTCATCAAAACGTGTTCTCTCGTAGCCTAGAGCATGGATTTCTGATACTCTGGCTGCCCTTGCTAGGGATAGCAGGAACAGTGTTTTCTGCGTCAGAAATTCGAACGATGTTGATTTCAGTGGTTCATAAGCCTCACTTGTGAGGTGTTGGAGCACTATATTTAGATCCCATGCTGGAGCGCGAAATCTCTGTTTCTGATCCTCCAATCGGAATGAACGTAGTAAGGCCAGTTACTCTGGCGTCTTCGTTAACTTGACACCCGTTCTCATAGTTATCACTGAACTTAATGCTGCGAGATACGTAGATAGTGTCAAGCCTTTTAGACGTTTGGTTTGTCAGAGGTGACAAAGGTAGTCTGCCACTTGAGGGTGTGTAGCTGTAAATCCCTTTTTTTGCAGCGTATGTCTCAAAACTGTGCCACTTGTCATACAAGTTGCGCGTAGAGTTGCGCAAAGCAAGCGTGACTGCTTTTGCCACTCTGGCTGAATAACCTCTCTTGTTTAAACACACTTTAATACAGTCCATACGTGAAGTTGGAATGCTCCTGGGTTTTCGTGCGCTTGTTTTGTGTGAGGATGTACAAGTAGATTCGAGTGCTTTGGTAGTTGTAGTATTGGTTGTCCGATTTCTTGAATTAGAATGGGAAACCACGTTCTCGCTGGCCAGTAGGGAGCGACCAAAATCAGTTGGAGGCTCTGAGTTTGTCTGATTTTCTGTAACATCTTTGGTATTAGCGCTGGCGGCGGAAACGCATACAAGTTGAGGCCTTCCCAGGATATGCTTGGAGCGTCCGTTGCCCATGCTTGTGGATCCGGGACTGGTGAGACGAATGTTGTTAGCTGATTGTTGAAGCGAGTGGCGAAAAAGGTCTATTAATGGAGCTCCTATTTCCATGATAATCTGAGCGAAGATTTCTGGGTGGAGTTTCCATTCCGTCGGTGACGGTAGATATGGCAGAGAGAGTGCATCTGCTAGTACATTCTTGGCTCCGGGAATGTGGCATGCTCTGACATGTATGTTTAGATCGTCGATCAGATCGAACAGTTGGAATCATAGAGTCAATAGGTTCAATGATCTCGTTGAACCTTGTTTGTTTATATAAAACGCCACTGTTGAGTTGTCGGTGTGGATCATTAGGTGCGCATTCTGTAGAATGGTGCTCCAATGAAGTAGGGCGTTGATTACTGCTTTCATTTCGAGCATGTTTATGTGCAGTTTGCTCTCTTCTTGGTTCCATAACCCTGATGCCGTCCGGTTGGTGAGATGAGCTCCCCAACCTTGGAGCGACGCGTCTGCATAGAGATGGGTTTTGAAATCCGGCTCTGTTAAATAGATGCCTTCGCAAACATTCGACCTCCTGGTCCACCAAAGTAGATGAGGTCTGAGGTAATTCGGTAGACCGAATGGTTGAAGGTCGTCGAGATGAGCGTTGATGAGGACCTGTAACGGGCGTAACTGTAGTCTGCCTCTGGCTGTCATGTCTTGTGATGACGTGAGGAGACCCAACAGACTCTGCCACTGTCGTAGTGGTAACGGAGAGAGTAAGGCTTGTGGAATGGTCTGTTGGATCTTGAGCCATCGGTCCTCTGGTACAACAATACGATTCTGTGTCGTGAGGAATCGAATGCCTAGAAATTGCAGGTCCTACGTAGGTGCTAGGTCTGACTTGAGTAGATCCACTAACCATCCTAGCTGTGTTAGTAGCTTGATGGTGAAATTCAGTTGTAGTTTGAGACGCTCTGGATCTTGATCTACTTGAATCTCGTCGTCGAGGTGGAACGCAATGCGTAGCCCTTGACAATGTAGGTAAGTGACGATGGGTTTCGTTACTCTTGTGAACAACCAGGGGCCGATGATATTCCAAATGGTAGTACCCTCCATTGGTAATGTAGCCCGTCTAGAGTAAACTGTAGGTACTTCCTCGAGTCGGGATGGATCGGAATATGCAGGTAGGCATCCTGTAGATCTATACTGGCCATGTAGTCCATCGGACGAACGAGGTGCCGTAGTTGAGGTAGATGTATCATGCGAAACGTTGGCTGTTTGCGTAGATAATCCCTGTTGAACGTGCTCATGTTGTAGATGAGTCGGAACTTTTCTTTGGAATTTTTCTTTGGCACTAGGAAAACTGGGGAGTAGAAACCTGGTTCGATGTTTACTTGATCCACGATTTCTATGGCCTGCTTCGTTAGGAGAGATGACACAGCTTCTCGTAACTTTAGTAGTTGTTGTGCCTGGAAGTCGAACTTGTGAGGATTGACTGTAAGCGGAGGCGTGGCCTGTAGTTGGATTCGATATCCATGTTGAAGGATGTTGGAGACATATGGATCTTGTAGTATTCCCCAGTTCTCCCAGTGCAGTTGAAGGCGTCCACCCACTTGTGAAGGTTGTACAGGGACGGCTTGGGGTGGAAGACTCCAGTCGTTCCGAACCCGCCTTTCATCGTCGATAGTTGCGGGAGCCTCTGGGTGTCCTGCCTCTTCCAGATCCTCCCCTGTAGTTGCCGAATGGGCGGCGAAAAGAGTCCTTTCCACCTCTGGATCCGGCCATCTTCCTGTCCCTTGCTCTCTGTAAACCAGTGAACTTCGATCTTCCAGAGTATCTCTGTGATGTCTGCTTGATGACGCTAGTGAGAGTGTCAATCGATTTAATCATGAGGACTTCTCTTGAATCCTTGATGACTTCTTTAGAGACTTTATCAATTCCTCCAGCGAAGATGGAAGGCGTTGACCATGGGGCTGTGAATAGAGGTGCTGTGAACTGTTCACCCCAACTACAGGTGGCGAGGAGACCTTGACGACGAGCCTGAGTAAGAGCTGCTGAGATGGATGAAAGGTGATCCGTCAAGAATTGCTGGTTCTTCTTCTGCATAAGGAGGGACGAGTATATCATTCTGTCGTCTTCTGATGTAGAATCTCGGGAATCTAGTGATGAGAGTTTCATTAATAGTTCTGGATCTGTTGAGGCCGAAAAACATTTTTCTGGTCATAGTTTCGACTTGAGCCAGCTTGTGATCCTCGATCTTGTACGTCTTGGCCTTGGCATCGTTGATGACTTTAAAGTTATCGTCGATTTCTTGAGCTTTGTAGAATGGGTCCATGTTATGAGCAAAGAACTTCTTGGCGTTGAACTGAGGTAAGTGCGGCGCCTGAGCTTTAGTGGCTGTTTGGAAAGCTGTATTCAAGTTCTGTGGAACCATTGCTATAGGGTCAATCGGAGGTAGGGTGATCGTGTCTGCGTCGTCCTCCCTCATGAGATAGGTGTGAGCTGGGTTGTTGTGTTTAGACGGCGAAGCCAGGTCCAGGTTGTTGGCCATCCAATAGCGTATCTCTGCGTCGGAGAATATGATGCCTCCATCATCTTCGGTATCCGGAGCATTAGTAAGAGGCCGATGATACTCTTCCGATGGTGACTGAGGTGGAGTTCTGTATACTTGAACAGCTGTGCATGGCGACGTATGAGGAGACCTGACTGGAGACCTTCGCGAAGGCTTATGAGTCGAGCGACGTGGTGATCTATGAGGTGACCTGCGTGGTGATCTACGTGGGGACCTATGAGGCGATCGACGAGGTGAACGGCGAGGTGATCGACATGGAGAACGGCCTGACGAGCTGCGTCTGTAAGGCGTAGATCTACGTTGTGGTGAACAACAATAGCTTCGCGAAGCTCTTGGTGAATCCCTCAATGACCTTCTAGACGAAGATGACTTGGAGTCTGTAACTGGAGTTAACTGTAAGCTTCATCTGAGTCCGGTCCTGGGGAGTGACGACTTGACCTTCGCGAAGGCTGGTGGTCCGAGGCAGAGTCCGGGGATGAGAGGATCCTTCTTCGCGAACCCCTTCGCAAACGTTGATCATCAGAGTCCAAGGCTGGTGATGATCTAGGTGTCCTTCGCGAACGCCTTCGCGAACGCTGATCGTCTGGGTCCTTCGCAGAGGTAGACTGTGACGTTCTTCGCGCAGGCTGGTCCCTCAGTGGTGACTTGGTAGTAGCCGCTACGTTGACAGGGGGTCCCTCAGGGGTGACGTCTGCGGTGGAGCCTTCGCGAAGGCTCAGGTCCTGGGCTGGTTGTCTCTTTTCCAGTCCATAGCGGTCTTCCATCAACTTCATAATCTGTTGAACCAGGTCCCCCGGGACGGTCTGCGAAGTTGTAGTAGCTGCCCTATCTGCGTTGGTAGCGACGGGACCCATGGGAAGATCGTCAGTCCTCAGCGTTGATACATCGGGCTGATTGTGGATCTTCGCTGACGTCACTGTAGTTGACACCGGTCGCTTCTTGCGATGAACATCAGGTATGATGATCGGCTGCTCATCATATAGGCCCTGTTCTGCGCCAGGAACAATTTCGGCTGAGAAAGTTCTTGCTGACTGCGTTGTTTTCCCCTTGGTGGTAGACGCTGCCCTGGGGGTGCGGAGTCTGCGTTGTGACGTAGATGCCCTCTTAGTCTTAGGCTGCGACGACGTCTGGTGATGCAGGATGCTTCTTGGAGACAGCGGACTGTGTCCCACGCCTCTCCTCCGAGGGTAACTCCAGCGGAACACCAGACGGGAGGGGGTCGTCGCACAGCAGTTGACTTGCGAGGGGTTCAGTAGCATTAGCCATGCCTAGACTCTGTTTACGTGACCTATCTGCTGCACGTCTCAGGACGCAAAGTAAATATTTGTTAAAAGCAGAATTAGATCAATTAATACAGAAACTGCAACATGAACTGAAAGCACATGGTACAGTACAGCTAGGGCATATTAAATGCGGATCAGCAGCAGAAAAACGTAACTTGCAAACAGTACAGATTTTCATCAACGTAATCTACTGAACAATCACGGCTTAAACCGCGAATAAACAGCAGTAAATACGAGTATATAGGAATAAATATCAAACCATATTGTTGAAGGATACTAGCTAAACCTCTATAAGAGACTTGTAGAGGTAACTAAGTAAGAATAATCAAAGGATATAGTGCCGTAGGGAGACACAGGCGCTCTCACATCCTGCTCACTGGGCGAAGAAGGAGAGAGTGAAGCATGTGGGATGTGGTGGCGCCACCTTTCCCGCCAAAAGGGGAGCAAAGAGAGGCAACTCTTGGTGAGTATTGATTAGTGATTTTAAATTGAAGGGAGCTTCAATTAGGGAGATACAAGTGTTCCACTATGTTCGCAAGAAGAAGAAGACAAGCAAAAAGAGCATGAGTCAGGATAAGGAAAAATAATATTGGCATTATTCTCTTGATATTTACCAGCAGTTCTGAATGATGTCAGTGAAGCACTTTTCCCTCCAGGGTACTTGAACTCATCAGGATGAATGACATAAGGTGGAAGAATTTTTATCTCTTGGCTTAAAGCAGACAGGTCCAACCTTGTTCTCAGTGACCTGGGATTGTTATACCGAGCCTTTATTTTCTTAATGTTCAAATCTGAAATCAAATTCACAATGCCCTTAATGTCAGGCTGAAATCTATAGTAGGACTCAAATATGTGAGTGAGTGAGTTTAGTTTTATGCCACTTTTAGCAATATTCCAGCAATATCATGGCGGGGGACACCACAAATCTCAAATATATGGCATGTTTTCTATCTTATGGTTTACTAAGGTACATCAGTGAGTGGGGTAGGGATAGTTGGGTTTGGAAGCCACGTTTAACAGTATTCAGTTTATCACAGCAAGTCAGTTTAATGTTGGGAGAAAGCCCAAAGTAATGCAGGTTTTAGACATTCAATACTGTAGTTTAACCCATGTAGAAGGACCTGACAACCTAGAAACATAAGTATGTCCACAAAATATGAAACAGAAAAGTATTTTGGAAAAATAAAAAAAATACATGTCATTGTTAATAATTCTAATAATATTACCTCTATTACATCTTTGCCAGAACCCCTGTATTTTGGCTGAGAATACACTTACTTTCAGATTTTTGACAGAAGTCCTTTTCTCTGTCAATTATACATAACTAATTTTCCCGGTAGTAGCACTATCAGCTTGCAGCTCTTCTCTGCACAAATATCATAGGTCAATAGACATCATACTCTTACACGACATGATTAAATATCGATGTAATAACCACAGAAATTGGATCAAATTGGATTAGGCATCATACCATCCATGCATCAGACAATCTGAAAAAGCTCACATTTTGGGGATACTTTATTACAATCAGCCTAGAACCACTGGCGATATTTTCAAATAATGGCAACTGATGGGCATCGTCTCATTGTTTAGGTTGAAGAATTTCTGTCAAGGTGGACAGTTGCCCAGTACCATGTCCGTCACGGTCGAGGGAGCTAAGGCGAACCACCACCACGTAGATAGATTGTTAGCGTGAAACAGGAACTGTTCTGGATATGTGCCCCTTCTAGAAAAACCTTGTCTTGGACTGAGGAATCGAAAAATGGTTAACATTGAGTCTGATATAATTTCCTCTTCAAACTGGGTAGGGGAAGCCTGTCATCATGTCAGAATTTACTTATTTGATTCAAAGAATGAACAAATATGTTCTGTTTTAACTTGGCCATTGGAGCATGAGGTGATGTCACAGGGACCTTGCAGTCTGTAGACTCTGGCATCTGGGGGAGGCATGTTGACCTGTTGGGAGTCATACGGTTTTGAGAAGAGGTGCAGCTGAGATCATGGGGGTAAGCTGAAGGACCTGTTACAGCTGAAGATCCCATGCACGCACCACACATTAATCCAATGTGAGTATTTGGCTGATGGTCCTGATGTACTTGAAGCCCTTCTGGTGTCTGGAATGGCTGAGTGTCCCATTGGGAAATGACTAGAGCCTGATCAACTCGCTGCATTCAGTCTTGAAATCTGCTGGGCTTTTGCAAGTGTACAGCATTCAATACTGATGATGACTGTCATGGCTCAAGTGATGCCAATCCCCCATGTTGCCTTTCTGGCCAGGACATTTTTTTGTGACCGATCACTGTCTACTTCTGGAATTGTCACAGGACTAGAAGTTTTGGACCTTCTTGGTCGGGCTGGTGTCTCAGCTGATGTATCATTGATGGGATATAACCTCTGACATTTTCTTGCTGCCTACTTAACTACAGCCTTCTAGATGCTTGATTGGCATTTTAGAAGATGCTATTTGATGAACATAGAGATTTTTCTGGGTTACATCTTGTTTTTATTCTTAAGTACAACATTTAAGGGCTTGTTCTGGCCCCATCATCAGGTAAAACTGAACAGAAACTGTTAACTCTGCCTGTGATGTCACAATGCTTATGACGACACAATACATGTGGATGTCAATAGATACAGCTAACAGGGCTAATAGAATATATGTTATAATGAATATATATAATGTCGATACTTATACAAAATTGTTGATTGATTTAGAAATGTACAGAGACTTAGTTATAAATGTATAGAATGTAAAGTAATAGAAGTGTATACATCGAACTTATGGTTTATACATGGGAACAGTGACGAGACCCTGATCCCTGTTTATTGCTGGTTTTGTGAGTTTGATGAAGATAGCTTCAATCAATTTGCGTTTCCGCCAGTCACTGATGTTTTTTTCGAGCACTTCAGTTTCCCAGTCAATTTCATGATCGGGATTATTCATAATGTGTTGGGAAACTGCAGATTTCAGATCTGATTTGTCCGCTGAGGTTTTGTTCTTTCATATGTGTAGCTACTGGTCTGCCTGTCTCACCAATGTAGATGTCACCACAGTCACATTTCAGTTTATACACACAGCCTTTAGGGTTGGATATAGCGTGACTGCAACCCTTACAATTTGCACGTAGCGATGTTTTAAGGGTTTTGCCACACGAGTACGTGGTGTCAATGCTGGCCATTTTCTTAAGGAGTCTGCTGACTTGGTGGCTGATGGGCCCAACATACTGGATGTAGATGCGGATGGGAGATGGTTCAGGTTTTGGAGGACGCTGAACTTGATCTAGTAGTGTTTTCTTGATAGTGGTTTCTACAACGTTCTTAAGATACCCATTGTATGTGATGAATGTTGTCTTCAGGTGGTCTACTTCTTGTTGCAGTAGGTCAGGGCTACAAATTGTTTTCGCGTGTCTCGCAAGTGTGGCAACAATTGCTCTCTTGATTTGGAGATGGTGGTTTGAGTGGTGGTGAATATATTGGTCTGTGTGGGTAGGTTTGTAATAGACCTATGTGATGAGCTGGTTGTTGGAGTTGTCAATGGTGATGTCCAAGAAAGATTCTAGATTGAGTTGTATAGGGATAAGCAGGACTCACAGTGTGTCTCTAATGTGCAGGAATGCCTCAGCTTCACAACCACTCAAGTGAGTGTACCCTGTAATCATGAACTTCTTGTTTGATTAAGTTTGGCAGAGATATTGATTATGCCTTCTTGGAATTGATAATATGATTAATACGTGAAAATCAAGTACATAAAACATGTTATGACTTGAATAAGTTGAATAATATCAACTGATAACTAAATATTGAACTAGACTGAACTAGACTAGATTTCAAAAGCAGATATTTAGTCTGGCTCACAGAGGAAAGCACTAAATGCTGTCGTACTGCTGGTACTAACTGATGTGTGTTGTTGACAGTGAATAGAACTTCCGTTGAAAATCTAAAAGATAAGATTTAGTGCGATTGCTACAGGATTTATAGCAATGAGGTAATAAAAGTAGAGGATAGACACTATGTTAATACCATATCTATCAAGATAAGATAATTAGCTCAGTACCACAGCAACTAATAATAATTAAAATTCTGTACGTTTTATACAATATGTGGACTTTGTCAAAAAAAAGGCTATGCTTTTGTTGCTAGTCCCTCTTTCCAGTACAATTTGTAGAAATATGTAGCTGTAATAACTAGCTGGTTCCCAACAAGACACATTCTTTCAGTTAATGGTACAATCATCATGGTCACCCAAAAATATATAATTTTCAAAACATCAGTGACTGTTGCCTGGTGGAATCCAACAAATGTTTATCAGAAAGAGGATTCAGTAAAGAGGGCAATCAGCCTTTTTACTATATATAAAAAAACCCAATCACTTCCCAATATCTTTACTCGTAAAAAATGCAAAACTCACCAAACTTAATGTAAGCATAAGGTCTTAATGATGCCTGAATGGTCTTGTCTCTTTCATATTCCCGTAAGAATTCCTTTTGTATTTCATCCAGAAATGAGAAGGCCAACACTACTGGGTAGGATGACTCACATAGCACAAGAAACGTCAAACCAACAGCACTTATGAAACTGAAATGAACAATGAAAATAATTCATTAGACGTTTACCACATATAAGTGATACTTAATAGAATTCATTATAAAAGTGATGAAAACCAAAATGGTTTTAACTAAATGATCCCATCCATTGGAAATATCATTGACAAACTGCCCTACTATCAAATCAATCCGAATTAACTTTGTTTTCAGTATTGGAGGTTTTATGTAAAAGGTGTACTATTATGAATCATGTTAAAGGTTCATGCTATAATTGAGATAACACTTTTTCAGTAAATCCCTGTTAAGGTTACTCCATGTAACATGTTTTGGGATTACACTTTCTCAGTAAAGTACTGATTCTAGTACTTTTATTAGGTTGAGTCCCATCCGGGTTTTGAACCCATGCTGTCAGTGTCAGGCACCTATCTAATAATTGCAACAAAACCAAATTTTGCACAGTCCCATGAAAGCGACAGACCAACTCTGATGATTTGTAGCATAATTTTGGATACCCGAATAAAAAAGTTGTTTAACAAATGATCATTATTTTGTTGACACTTTTCACTATTTTTTAGGAGGGGGGACCACTTGCTGATAGAACAGCCAGGTGTGCCATTTGCACATGTGAAAATGAAATTTCACTACACATGCTTGTTGATTACCCCGCTGTCCTACTGTGCAAAATTTGGATTTGTTGCAATTATTAGATTTTGTGTTAGTGAGCAATTCATCGGTCTCAAATGAAATCAAACGGACTATAATTTCCAGCTCAATCCAATCAATCTCTGTGGTTTGTATGGATACGAGACGATCTGTACCCATCGATATTCATACCCAATGGAAATTAGCAACATTGCAACATAACATTTGGATGATCCTAGCCAAGTTACTTCATGGCCAAATCACGTTTAACCACTTTAGATTGTATCAAACTATTTTTTTTTCTCAGCATTTATTCATCACATACTCCTGCACATTGGCACTATTACTTTTCAAACATTCAATATACATTTCGAAGATTCAATCATTTTACATTTCAAACATGCATTCATTAGGTATTTGAAATAGTTATTCATTGAATATTTCAAAGATTCACACATTATACATTTCAAACATATATTACTTTTACATTTACATTCATTTATTTGGTCCTTCATTTGCTGTTGTAGTCTTGATTGCTTAATATCTGTGAGTTTAAAGGGATATGGATTTTTTGGGCACAAGTCATCCAGCTGTTTAGGAAAGAGGGGTATAAGTTGTCCAGTAAACTTTTGGGTACAAACCTCCCTGGGTATGGAATGTCCAGTTCCCTTTGTAATTAGCAACTAATGTCACACTTCTAAATTGTATGTCCTTGAGGGCACAGTGCAAGAACGTCAATTTAGAGAGAATCATACATGCTGTAATACCAAATGGCAACAGCCTGCTCAGACTGGTGAGGCCAAACAAAAACATCTTGTGGTTCTGATTACACCTGTTTAAAATGTAGGGTAGGTTGGTAGGTAGGTTTTGGTTTTTTTACATTTATTTTAGAAGTAAAGTACGAACTAATAACACATTTATCAATGTGTAACTGTTTATTCAATCAAGCTTGCAACATCATGTCGACTCTATCAGAATGACCGATGTCCGTTGGTGCCAGGGAAAAAACAATGGTATCTGAAAGCTTATTTTATTCTTACCGCTTAAAAAAAAATAGGGTTGGCACCAGACTTCAAGGGTCTGTCAGGTAATCGTAACCACAACAATGTTTGTTAGGCCTGAGGTGAAATGGAGTTTAACATCGCACTTAAGGCTATTGTGCTCCTATGACAACGTGCATGCGTGTGTATGTGTGGCTGCTTGTAGTTCAGCATGAATACCGCACTCAGACACATTACTGACTCCGAGCTGACCAGTCCCTGTTGTACCCATTAATGCTGAGTACCAGACAGGGACCAACAAGTACCATATTTTAAGGCCTTTTGGTAGGAAGCGGCGTGCCACCTTCCCCTCTCCAGGCGGACGCTCTAACCACTACAACAGGGAGGCCCTAACACACGTTGAATGGAAATAACAACAACAAAAAACTCAAACTTTTCAATCCTGATATAAAGTAATTGTATGAGGTGTCGTGTAAGTGTCATATTCAGAATTAAAACTTACTGTATAGAGTATGAATTCGGCGTACATGAACATCTGTCGGGGAATTTTGAAAGTCGTTTTGTGATTAATTTTAAATCTTTGTACGCTAACTGATAGTCTTCACTTTGGTCTTCGCTTCTCATATCAGTTGTGCCACACAAAGGCAGCCCATCGCTGGTTTTTGTTATCATAGAAAACCCAATCATAATTGGAGACTATTTTACTTTCACTGACATGCGACGTTATTTCGCTGGCATTTTAAGGCCTTTTCACCGTCTACTTTTCTCTGTGGTTGGTTGTATTCGGTTAACTTTTAATCTATCAAAATCATTATGCCGTTTTAAAAACCTGTCTACCTCTCGATGATTTGAATATATTATACGTTCGCGAAGAAACAAAATTTTGTCACGTTGCAAATAGCTAAAAAATAATAACAGGAAGAGAATGAAAATAGAACCTTTAAAAGGAAGAGTTACTTCCTGTCGCACGTACTATATTCCTAGAACTTGTTAGATATTTGAGAAGGCTGTTAGTAAGAAGTGGGCTTGTTGCATATTAAATAAATCCAGTAATTTCTAATTAGTATCAATATGACCGTTATATTCCCTTTGGCTATATGTTAAATATGGATGGTAATACGAGTGTGGTCTGTTGTAAATATATTTAATCATGTGGATGAGTTAAACTCATAAACATAGCCCCGACCCTTGGCAACCGTGGAACAAAATACGGAGATTAATACGCAGTATTTGGGATGGATATTTTGATTTGTCCTTTGTTTACTAGTATTTTGAATGCAAATGCGACAGATCAATGTTAAAACATATGCCTGAAATTATTTAATTGACGAGTTTTCACGTCATATGTGGTGGCCTATATTTTTGGTCTCAGAAATATAGTTCCACTGTAAACAACATGGCTACCGGCTTGCATCTCAATATAACAGCTATTCGCATTGCGCATTTGTGTTACTTGAACATGAATGCATAACTCAATTTCACGGCTGTCAAATACTTCGCAAGCATAATGCCTACTTTAGGTGCAGTTGTCAGAGCAGGTTCTAGACCTGTCTCTGTTCAAATGACTTCTGGGGATGAATCAATTATGAATCGGGATATATTATTGAACACCGTTCAACTTTTGGAGCCAAGAAAGAAAACAAATGTTCCAAATCATCTGCTGGAGACGAGTGAGTGTTGATTGATTGTTGCAATGTGCCATGTTTATAAATATTTCTGTCTTTCTGTCATAAGGTTATTATTTTGTAATCGCTTCAGGTTCAGAGTTTGGATCAGTTGTAGGTGCTGTACCTAATAAGTTGTTATTACATGACAGTTTCCCTTTCGACAGCAATTTTGTACATAGAAATATCTAAAGATTTTGCTTAAAAATTGTGTATGTGTGTGTGTGTCATTGATTTTGTACATGACACTTCCTTTGTGCACAAATTTTAGGGGGATCATTCACATTGTACATTCTTATCCATAAAATTCATCATCAGCCATAAATTATGAACTGTCCTTAAGAAGAAAAAATAGTTACCAGTTTATTCATAACAATATCAATGGAATACTCCAACGCCAATTGTAAAGCCAACTAACATTTCTTGATGGACAGCAACTCAAGCAGACAACGCAAGGGACATGACTCTAAAATAAACTAGGTTCCGTCTATTGAAGTTTCCAGCGTTTGCGTGTATTAATTCCATACCAGTTTAGTAGCCAGGCAATATGGCTGATATGGATTTTTGGCCCGGGTGGTCAATATGGATATGTGCCGACAGTCAGTATTGCATGTGCAAAATGGTCCATATTATTGATAGGTATATGATAAACATCCTCATATTATTGGTTTTCATACGTTTAAACCCAACCCCCCCCCCCCACAGTTGCAGTTGTACAGAACAACCTTTACTGAGGTTGAACTTACTGAGTGAGTGAGTGAGTTTAGTTTTACGCTGCACTCAGCAATATTCCAGATATATGGCGGCGGTCTGTAAATAATCGAGCCTGGTCCAGACAATCCAGTGATCAACAACATGAGCCTCGATCTGCGCAATTGGGAACTAATGACATGTGTCATAGGCCTGGGACGGGTAGGAAAAGATGGAATCGAGTACCCGCATGTACTTACCCAAATCGGAATCGAGTACCCGGAAATGTAAGGAATACATCGCTTCTGTCAACTGTCTGAATATTCAATCACGAGTTGACAGAGATTATTATAGAAAACTTGAAAGGATGGCAATAAGACAATAATTAACAAACTTTCAGCACAAAGGGGGTGGGGGTTGCGCACCCCGCTGTTACTGCAATTTTCACTACTCAGTCGTTAATATTAACCTTCATTAATCGGACAATACCAATGATGTAAATGTGTGTTACGTCAATTATGAAAAAGACAAGTTATTATCTGCCCTTGTCATTACAGAGTTCTCTCCCTTTCTGGGTACTCGATTCCAAGAAATCGGGCTCGATTCCAGTTGTACCCGGATTCGAGTACCCTAGTACCCGTCCCAGCCCTAATGTGTCAACCAAGTCAGTGAGTCTGACCACCCGATCCAGTCAATCGCCTCTTACGACAAGCATGGGTTATTGAAGATCAGGGCGGTGGGGTAGACTAGTGGTTTAAGCATTGGCTCGTCAGGCTGAAGGCCCGGTTTTGATTCCCCACATGATTACAATATGTGAAGCCCATTTTCTGGTGTCCCCCGCCGTGATATTGCTGGAATATTGCTAAAAGCGGCGTATAACCATACTCACTCACTCACTACTGAAGATCAATTCTAACCCGGATCTTCACGGGTGTTGACTAGGGTTAACCTTTAGGTAACCTTAACAAAAAATAATATTTCGAAATGTATGACTAATATGTTTTAGGATCGGACTTTTGTCCTTATTTCATGATAATGTGGCTATTTCCCCCATCAGTATACAATAAAAGATGCAAAACGTTAGCTTTTTATGTATAGAACTTTAAGAATAATCATGTAAGGTTAGACCAAAGGAAGACATGGCATGGCTTGTTATATTTTTTATAAATCTTGTAGAAATATAGTTACAGTTACAGTCATCACAATGATTTTTTGAATATGAATTGATTTGATTATCAACAACAATGAGAGTAAATCGTAAAACCTTGTGCTAAACACCCACCTGGCCAATCATCATACATCATTGTTTGTCCATAACAGCGTTAACAAATTCAATAAACACGACAGCTCCTTTTAAGAAAGTGTCCGTATTCAGTTCATAAACTATATCAATCATTTTCATTAACATTGTCAGTTTTACTTACGAGGTTAAATTAAACTGCTGTTCGTTGACATCTAATTTCCAAACACAGTACGTTTATCTCCTAAATATCCTCTTCTATCAACATGTAGGCCCATCATTGTCTCTATGATCCAATGTTAATTGCTAACAGACGGGACATCGTCCTTTTTTTCTTAACTCATCCGTTTGGACCAAAGGTCGATAGAGGGGAGTTTGCATGTATATTCTCACTCCGTTATCAAGATAAAAGTTACTACAACCAGGTGAATAGAAGTATATATGCATAGTGACAAGCAGCAAATTAACAACAACAGGTAATTCAGCAAGTAGCACATCGTTTGGGCCAAGATCAACAAGTCAACAAGTGATGTAATCAATCAATCAGCTTGTTTATCCTGAACGATGTACAGTATCAACCTGATAAGTAAAATTTCATGGGACTCGCCAAAATTGTTTACTTATCAGGTATTTTACTTATCCAAACTTATCAAAACCCGGAAATGACAGCCATATGCATGTACAATGTGCATGTATATGTATTCAGCAGAACAACAGACAACATTTGTAAGTAATATGACATGATTTATTCCCTAAGATTTCATTGCGTTAAGTAATACATTTATAATACAAAGTAATAAAAATCAAACATAATGAAACAAAATATTTTAGTCTAACAGTCTAACTTTTTACTCCACAAAAGCTGTCATGAGGGCCTGCTTCATGTCATTCACAATGTAAACTGGATAAACTCACTGTCATTGCTGATTGGTGTAATCACTGATACTCGCAAGCTACATAAAACAATGAACAACTTAACAGGGCTGGCTTCCAGTTGTCAGTGTATTGTTAACTGCATGACGCCAGCGAGCTGTAAGTAGGATGTTTGTTTAGCCGGAGACTGACACGTGCCCCTCATGTCGGATTATGTGGTGATCGCTAATTTAGTTATCCGGTCTCTTTTGTTAAGGAATTTACTTCCAGGGATCATGAAAAAACCTTTAGTTAAGCGGTATTGTTTACTTATCCGAGTTTAGTTAACTGGACTCTAATAATGATAATAAAGGTCACATGCAACGTAAAACACAACTTTGCAGATTCTGATACCTTTCGGTATGGACTTACCGAAACAAATCGTCAAAAATGCAAATTCAACTTATAAAGTTGAAACAACCCGCTCGTGATCGGAGTTCAAACGTTTCACTAATTTTCCCCCGACTTTTCTGGGGAAAACGGGTTTCAACGGCTGGGCTGCGCTCATAGCACGTGCGCAGTGAAATAGCTTCACGCAGCTTGGAAGCAGGTTGTCCGGTGAATACTCGGTGAAGGCTTTGGTGTGAGCTATTTTTCTAATGTTTTGTTGATATCTCACAGGCTCAAGCTTTTTATATGTTATGACAGTAAATTAACTGTTTATATAATTTCACCACATGTTCTTCTTACCGAGCCACTTTCTCAGTTCGATACTTAAAAGCAATGTCATTATTTAGCGTTGACAGAATTTCTAACTGTGATATAGATATGTCGTTGTCACAGACAAAACTCAATGTCTTGTTTTATTGACACCTGTGTGTCTGCCTGCCTGTCTGCTAATGACAATATTTAATACACAGCTGCTATCACTGACCACATGCAATTTGAACTTAACACCAATCAGGCTATACACCATAAACAAAATGCATTGATTTATGGCCCGAGTTCGGTCTCTGTCACATTATGTAATTACACAGACAGGCAGGTGTGATAGTTGAACACTTGACATGTTATGATGTCTGTTGATTGCAAAATGTTATACACAAAAATGAGCATGTATTTACAAAACCCAACATCTCTACATATACACACACAATAAGCCGTGAGGGCATACGCAAATGAACCAGCCGTTACACTTGAGTGCACACCCACCCGCTCTGACTGGGTTCGGTATCCCGGCTGCTTCGTTTCTTGGGAAGTAAACCAAAGTACACAATATTGCACTTTTGATTTGCAATTGTACGCTTATAATTTTCTTTATATGTTTTTTCATAACCAGCAATGTATATTATATGTCACGAATAAGTGATAATTGTGTTTTAATTATGTTTGATTTTTTGGTTGCATGTGACCTTTAATGACGAAATTTGCCACGACCAAAGAATAGTGTTTACTTATCCGGTATGTTTAGTTAAGCGGTCTTTACTTAGGTGGTTTCCACTGTACATCGAAATGCCGCTCTATGCAATAAACAGTGAGTTGTTATCACGTAAGTGGTATGTTTTGTTTTGTATCCCCATATTGTTTACTGCAGTATAAGTGAGATCTGCTTCAGTTTGCGAATGACCAATCTTTTGAAGTTGATTTAAGGTCAACTTTAGTAAACTGCTACCTAACAGATTGATCTCAGATTACAACATCTCATTCCAAATTCGTGTTTTCTATTTCAGGTACTAAGAAATACTGAATTTTTACATATTAGATATAAATATATCGGTACCAGTTTGACGTGTCTGGTCACGAGTTAACAAACATAGTGATTATATATTTTTTACCATTACATGTGTCATTAACACGTCATTTATGCCATTATAATGTTCTCTGATCCATTTCACCATACAGCATTTATTTCATTCAATGTTTTGAAGCTCATATGATAACATGAGAAATGTTACTGTTCCAGTTCCTTTTGAAGTTTGAAATTATTTTTGTTCCTCAAGTGTTCCAACCAATATAGTCATTATGGTTACAAACGGCCTGATTTCTAATGCCTATCAAGTGAGATGTTATACACGAGTGCATGCACACACACCCACACAAAACATTCGTAATTTGTGAATTCTGTTCGGACGATAAAGAAATATCTAATTTGATAAGAGTCACTATATCCCTTACTCTGAGAGAAGCATGGCATTATTCGTTCATTTTGTAATAATTTTATCTGCAAAAAAAGAAGGTATTATCAAAAATGCAAAAGCAAACTTCGGTATACTACCATTTCACTAACATTGCGATATTGACCATGTTAAGTTTAGTCTGTTTTCAATGTCATAATATGTGAGGTTCCTCATTCACACATACATTAACTGACAATATAACACAAAACAATATGCAACCAACCAAATACAATACAATACAATACAACTTTCACCACCTGTGCATACCACACTGTTAACGAATCTCTCAGGTGTGTTAGAGCGATAATCACATCACGACATGGTTAACAAACCTACAGCTCAGCAGATATTAATAACTTACCTTTTTAATAAGAAAAGCAAGATTTATGGATGTCAACTTCTTTATTGTGAATAACACGACATTTCGGAGCATATGCTTGCTCCTTCATAAGGTGAAAATCAGGTCACAATAAAGAAGTTGACATCCATAAATCTTGCTTTTTGTATGCATTCCACTTCTAAATGCCCATCAAAGATTTAACTTACTTCTAGAGGCTTCTTTAAGAGGCATAAAAACTTGGTTTTCCTTCCAGAGGCTGTCTAGACTAAATTGACTCACTCATTAATTAACAAGGCAGTAGGCCTTGTTAATTGGTGACTCTTAACTGACTGGACTCACACATCAATTAACAAGGGATTAGGTCCTGGGACGTGCAAAGAACAATCATTTACCATCACCCACCAGTTATCTCCCCTTGTGGACATTTCCAAAATTGTAAATTTTTGGAAATCCCATATTTCCAAAATTGGAAATGTCTTGGAAACATCATCTTTCCAAAATTGGAAATGTCTTGGAAACATTTTCTTTCCAAGACATTTACAAGCTTGTAAATGTGGACTTTTTTCCAGTGAAGGTCACAAGTTTCGTATAATTCGTATGTAATGAGACTGAGTGTGGTATTTTATTTATTACCCTTGTCTTACATGCATTAAATTGACAAAATAGCGTATTTTTGTTATTTTTTTGGTTTCAAACCGAAACCAGTTGCATAAAGAGGTTGCGGAAGAGTTTTGTTACAATATTTGCATGACGTCACACTGTAATGACGTCACAGCCTTGGTAACCGACGTCACGATGCATGTCAGTTGTCATCGCCTCGTACAGCCTCCTACAGTAAACTACTCCGTAGCACCCTGTTTCTTGGTTTGCAGAACTTTGCTTCATTCGGCTAACATCACTGGTGGAAACATTGCATTTATGTTTTTCGACAGATATAATGTCTCAGTTCGACTCACAATTAAACAGCGACACAGCAACGTTCGCAATGTTTACATTCCAACAATACATTTAAGTTGTAGAATGAATGAATTCATGGGTTTGTTATGAATGAAAAAATAGTTACGTCAGAATGTGACCTAATTGAGAGGTCATCGGTTATCCAATCAAATCGTTAGAATCTCAGATCAAGTCGTTACGACACAGGTCAACACGATACGACACTTGTGTGACGTATGAAATTAGTATGCAACTACCCATACGTTGACCAAGTGGGTAATAATGATATGTAGCTTTCAACATGTAGCGAGGATTGAAAATGCTTGAAAGCAAATGAATCTGAAAGGTAATGAATAGTGGCAGACCGTGATTGTTTGAAAGCCGAAGTTTAATGTGAAATTAGCTTAGGATCAAGAATGTGCAGAAAATGAAAAGAAATATAATGTTGCCTAATGGTACCATTAAACTGTTGAAGATTATTTATTTATCTGCCGTTGTTTTTGTTAGAATTTTCATAACATTTATTCTAAAAAAACAGTTCTGATGTAGCGGGTGAATGAAAGCAAGGGAGGTGAACTTTCCATGTGGCGGACATGTGATTTAACAAGTATATTTAGAATTAACTCCTCTGTTCCTTCACTCTGTTGAACCGGAAACTGGCATGGGTTATGGAGACAAAGAACGAAGGAAAGAAGGAAACAAAGAAGTACCCAGAGTAGGTTTCCTTTAATTGTCTTTTCTTTTTTCAGAAATATATTCCAAGGTTGGGCAAAATGCTGCAGTTCACACCCGCCCATCGACCATTCATTTTGATGGCTTTGAATTACATAAGAAACAGACCAGGTCATTTAAGATTGTCAACGCTTCATCAGATGTGCTCAGAATGCATATCATCCCACCGCAGAGTAAATATTTCTACATCAAATACACAAAGTCGGTATGTATACACTCTTTGTATAGAAATAGATACTTATAGCACACAAATGCTTCTTTGTGATCATGTGTATGACCAACCATTGTGGGTATGCACTGCTCATAGTTCTGAGTAAGGATATAGTAATTTTCCTTATCCTCTAGCTCATACTATTTGGTTCTCTAACCTGAGATACAATGGAAACATGCTGTGTTATGTTCCCAAGGACAGAAAAAATGTCTCACCTGAATGAACCCCACTGCTGTGCATGCGCACCAGCCACCGACTTGACTAGCAAGTGACTGTAACTCTCTCCATTTCTGGAAGTGTTGGAAGGCCACTCATCATACAGGCAGCTGCCTACACTTTCTCAAGTGTCATCAGCGATTTATCAGGGAGTCTTCACATAGTCTTGATCCTTCATGCAGCCTCCGACCTTCATCCAGCCCAAAGCTTCTGAAAGCCATCATGCATTATGCAAGGATCAGGACCTCTGAAAAAAAATAAAAATTTGTTCGTTGACTGTCATGTCGATTGTCTGCAGAGGAACTTATTTAGAAGAACTTGTTTATGACCTACATATGTTCATAGACACTTCACTGCAAGGTTGGGGAACTCAGTTCAACACACAAGTGACAGTAGAACTAAGGGTCTAAAGAACAACATGGTACAAGGCATAGCAAGATTGGCACATGTATCTTCAGCGGTTGGCATTTCAACTGTACAAACTGACAGACAGTTTCAACCTTATGACAAGAGCAAGACACGTTCCATGATCTTCAAATGTGATAGCAGATGCACTGTCCAGTCCAAACAAGCCATCACCAACGGAATGGATGTTCCATGTAGAAGCTTTTCAACTGGCAGTTCAGGAGCAATGTTGTCTGCTGATAGACCTGTTTTCAACAAGATTCAAGAAACAGATAGCTACCTTTATATCTCCAGTTACAGTACCTCTCGCATGGACCGTTAATTTGCTAGCAATATCCTGGGAAGGTCTTAACACATATGTGCTCCATATACCACTGCTTATTCCAAGAGTCTTACAGTAGATTGTTCATACAAAGAACCTGAAACCTACTTTATTAGAGCCTTAGGGGCCATCAGGAAAGTGGATTCTGTCTGATGGTGGCAGCAACTATTAGTTCAATCTTGACAATGGATTGAGGAGAAATATCTAGCACTGGCATGGGACTTCAGTATAGTCCTTCAACATTTGACCAACAATGTTTATGAACCCCTTCAGCAGGCAGACTTTGAGTTTTTCAATGTTTGGGCAAGTTGTTTTTACTGTTCTTGGGGAACATAGCACAGAATGTTTCCACTGTATCTCAGGTTAAAGTAGAGAGAAGCAAATAGTATGAGTCAGGATAAGTATAAAATAATATTTTTACTGTAAAAAATACATACTTGGATGGGTGATGAGCTGGAGTTGACAGAACTAAGTAACACTGTATCATCAACAGCTGTTTCACATTTGTGTTGTTGTCAGTACTATATCCATAATAAAGACTTGTTTTCTTCTCAGATGTGGTGACTGGCATGCATATATTGTTCATGGAATGGGCTGTCTCATTATTTATATTCAAAGCAAAATAGAAAATCACGGTTTCAAAACGTAAGATTTGGTTACTGATATGTTATTTTAACTTGTCTGTTTATTGTTTGCAATATGTTATGAATAGAATTGCTATGAATATGTCAGGGTGTAAAATTATGTGAAAGAACCTTATTGTCAGCTTCACAAATAATCAATTATTCATTGTGTTTTTCCCACAGGAAAGGATGGTGCCAGGCCTCACCCTTGACTGTACAGTAGAATTTACTCCTGACGAGTGGAGATACTACTATGATTGTATTAGAGTCAACTGCCCGGTGAGCTTGCTGCCAACTTCTTTTAGCTACTACTGGGTTGTACAGAGGGAATACAGTTTACCTTCATGGTGTCTTTCCATCACTTTGAAGTGATGTGTCCTGATAATGTAGATATATGCCCATGCAGTCAATCACTGGGCTATACAGAGGGAATACAGTTTACCTTCATGGTGTCTTTCCATCACTTTGAAGTGATATGTCCTGATAATGTAGATATATAGTATGACCAGAAATTATTGAGAATTTTAGGAATATGTTTAATTGGATTTCTAGTATAAACAACCTTGACCAGCTATCAAGTGCTTGGTTTCATTCAAGAGAGACAACTCTGTTAATCCTTTTTCATTAGTTTGTGCAGAGTTATCCCCCTTTGTTTACTTGCTAGCAGACATTTTCTGTGATCCTCAGTATGGATGATTTAGAGAGAGGAAGTTGATTTTAGAGTATTATAACAAGGACATCAGATCAGCTAAAGTGATTTCAAGTAGAACAGGCATCCCTTTGTCCACTGTTTATCGTGTTTTGAAAAATATTGCAAATGGATATGGCAGTGATCACCAGGGAGGTGCAGGTAGGCCCAAAAAGTTGACTGTCGGTGACAGGAGGCGGCTTGGTATTTTTGTTTCTAAAAACAAACGAGGAGTTTAGAAAACTTAAGGCTGGATATGATTGATAGAGGAACTGTGGCTGTCTGTAAGGAGACATTTAGAACTGAGCTGCATGCAATGGGTTGGCAGAAAAGTCGAGGAATTCCATCACCGATCATGAAACCTGAACAAAAGGAGCGAAGGTTGAACTGGTGCTTACAGCATAGAAATTTTAACTGGGACAATGTGATTTTCTCAGATGAAAGTTCTGTGTGGCTGTTTCCTAATACACTGAAATTCGGGACCAAACAAACTGAAAAACCTTTGTATCAGCACCCAAAGTACAGTCCGAAATTTAACGTGTAGGGTGGTATATCTGTGTTAGGGGCAACGCCCCTCTGTGTATTTGAAGGGAATATGAACAGTGAACGGTACACAGATATTCTCGAGGGACATTTACTTCCATCTGCTCACATGTTCTATGGAAATGTTTGGATTTTCCAGCAGGACAACGACCCAAAACATCGTTCAAAGCATTCACAGGCCTGGTTTCAGACCCAAAATATAACATTATTAGATTGGCCAAGCTATAGCCCTGACCTAAATCCAATAGAAAATGTTTGGGGACTTATGAAGGAAAGTGTCAATAAGAAAAATCTGACAAATATTGCTGAAATGAAAGAAGAGGTGGTCCGATATTGGGACAGCATGGACCACGACTTTCTAACTTCTTTGATCAGTAGTATGCCCTGCCGCATTGAAGCCGGCATTGCTGCCCATGGTGACTTGACAAAATACTAACTGTTCACCTGTCTTTCAATCTGGAGTTATGTTTTGCTAATATTCACATTTAATACGTGAGTAATGAGTGAATTTTGTTTTTAAATACTACAATCTTTAAATTCTCAATAATTTCTGGTTGTACTGTATGCCCATGCAGTCAGTCACTGGGTTGTCAGCTCCAGTTGCTCATGCAGACAATCACAGATCCTGGTGCAAAAAACAACATTAACTCATTTTGTAAGCAACCCCCCAGTGATTCTTTGCATACATAATTCAGTTTGGGTAGTTTAAGCGAATATTCTACATGAACTTTGGTGGTCACAAATCTATTGTAAAAGCATGTAGGTCAAGGTCAAAAGACACCTTTTTGTAAAAGAGAGGATTTTTATATTTATTCATCATAGCTCAAACATTTTTATACATGATAATGCATTAGCATTTCCTTTCAGCATGATGAAGTAGATGTGGGTCAAGATCAGGTCAAATATTAAAGTCGGTCAAACATTGAAAAACATGTAATTTTCTACTGTACACTATACAATTGTAGCAACATTTGTAACTACACATAATTTTCAATTTGCAATTTTGTGGCAGTTTAATAAAAGTGACTGAAGGTTGAGATTATGAGGAAGTACTTATAATGTTTGTAATTTGGCCAAAGTTCCTGTTATAAAAATTATTATCACACCTTACACTACAGTACACTAGACAACACGATAGCATAGATATGGATATAGGTAGATAATGGTGAGGTCAACTGTCTCCTAATTTGTCAAAAGGGTTCATATACCTGGTAGGAAATGGTTGGGATAGCTCTGCCTCGCTTTGAGCATACATTAAATATCTTTTTAGTTTTCCAACTTGTAGACATTTTTGTGGCTTTTACAGGATATTGGAACAGTTCTTTTTCTAGGACACTGATTTCTAAAACCAGGGCTCCAGATAATTTTTCAACATCAGGAGTACGTACTCCTTATTTTTTCAATATATGAGTACTGGAAAACAATAAGAGTACATTTTGAGTACTGAATGGAATTTAATGGTGTATCATTAAACTTGTGCTTCGTTTCATATATGCATGACAGCATTGCTACTCTGGTGTAAACGGTCAATAAACAATTAAACAATACTTTTTCAGATACATATGTCTGTAAGTGATTCTAAGACCGTACACAATTGCTGTGGTGCGTATCTGCTACGTTTTCTAAATTATTTCCTACCGTATCGTGTATATTTTTTATCCGTACATACGCCGATACGGCCCTTATCTGTAGTCCTGTAAAACACATGCTGATAGTTACCCATACTTTCCTGGGGTTTTTTTACCCGTGGGGATCCAGGTTAGAATTGATGTTTAGTAACCCTTGCCTGTCGTAAGAGGCAACTATCGGGATCGGGTGGTCATGCTCGTTGACTTGGTTGACACATGACATCATATCACAGTTGCGTAGATTGATGCTCATGGTGTTGATCACTGGATTTTCTGGTCCAGTCTCGATTATTTACAGACCGCCGCCATATATCTGGAATATTGCTGAGTGCGGTGTAAACTAAACTCACTCACTGACTCACTCCTGCTTTTTCCTGTGCCTCCTGTCTCCAGGGAGAAGAGAACCTTGTGGTACCTATTCATGCCTACCCTGTGATGAGCACCAAAGACTTCCCCCACCACTTCTCATTCTCTCCAGTCCCTGTGGGTCACAAGTAAGCCATGTTTATATACTTGTTGATGAGGCTTTTTTTCAAGCAAGTTAAAAATTTGATATACATATATGTGTATATATACTTCTCTTTGATAGGAATGTTCAAATGTTCAGTCTGTATTGAAAGCCGTAATTCTTTTCTTCTGATTTGTCCCTTTTGAAAAGATACTCTGTGACATGATATCTGTCTTGTTTTCAAAGTTTTAACATACTTAACTAAAAGTATCATCATGTACACTAGATGTTAATTCTTGAGAACAATAACAGCTCAAACGCATCTCTTTTCTCTGTATTCCCTAGTTTGGCTGTATATCAGCAGCATGTGCAGCACACAGTGTGTAATCTTTGTCCCCAGGCCTACACCAAATGTTTGTCAAATTTCCAAATTAGAACTAAGCATACTGTGTAACTCGTCTCAGGAAATATGAACCCAAGTAAAAACAATATTCAGTAAATCTTTATATTGTCATCCTACTCATTACATCTTTCCAGAATGTCCGAAGTATTTCCTCTCTACTGTGGAGCTCCAGTAGACTTTGAGTTTCAGATCACCTACATCCAGCCAAGTGTTGCCTTCCATATCTCACCTATGTCAGGTAAGAAAAGACTACATCTATTCACAGATATTTGGAGAAATGGTTATGTGTCTCCATCATATGAACATATATGTGAGCTTTGAATCAGTTGACATTGAGATGTTTTCTTAGTAATGGGTACTCATGAAGAATGGATGTATAATCACTAGGGGTGACTATTGAGGGAGAAACAACTATTGCAATAGCCATAGTCTATTGCAACATACTGTTGCGATAGCGATAGTCTAATGTGACCAACTATTGCAATACTATTGCAATAGTTTTTATCCCCTTGAATCTGTCTCATTTGAAGTCATTTCCCAAATGAATGTATAGTTTATATGAGATAAAAGCAAGCTGAAGTAGTTTCAGTCTTTTTTATAACTGGCAAGAAACTTGAAACCCAGATCAAGTAAACAGCAATCAGGATTCGAAATACCCCATATATTAGTGTGCCATGGCACAGTAAATATTGAAATGGCACGGCTGAAATATGTTCTCTGTGCCCTATTGACACGCCTAATTTTCTAGACACATAACTCACATTTAGTCATTTAATCCCCAAAACAATTATTTTTCCTTATCCTGACTCATGCTTATTGCTTGTCTTCTTCCTCTTACGAACCTAGTGGAACACTTGTATCTCCTTATTGAAGCTCCCTTCAACAAAATATACGTAAAATCACTACTCACCAGAGTTATCCCTGTTTCCGTTTTGGCGGGAAAAGTGGCCCAACTGTTCTCCCACGCTTCACTCTCTCCTTCGCCCTGTGAGCAGGTTGTGAGAGCGCCTGTGTCTCCTATACGGCACTATATCCTTTTATTATTTAGTTAGTCCCCTCTATTATACTTCATAGAGGTTTAGCTAGTAATTTTCAACAATATGGTTTGATATTTAATCGTATTTAGCACTGTTTATTCACGGTTTAGTCCGTGTTTGTTCAGTTGTTTACGTTTTCATGAAAACCTGTTTCAATTGTAGATATCGTTTCTCTGCTGCAGACCCTCATCAACTGTGCCGTAGCTGCACGGTACCATGTTCTTCCAGCTCGCGCTGCATTAATTGCCAGCATTTAACTAAATCTGCATTTGATAAATACCTTCTTTGTGTCCTTAGGCGTGCTGCAGATAGGTCGAGACGGGTTGATCAGGCCATGACAGATAAACCAGCTGAGTCCCTCACCAGTCAACTGATGTCTGACGACCCCTTCCGTCTGGTGTTATGCTGGAGTTTCCCTCGGCGGAGGGGCGTGGGACGGTGTCCGCCACCTCCAAGAAGAGACCTGCTACTCCGGACGTCCCTTCGTCGCAGCCTAAGACTAGGAAGTCGTCATCTACCCAGCGCCGGCTCCGCAGCCCCAGGGCGTCGACCACCTCCACGGGGAAGTCAGCGCAGACGACACGGACCTTCTCAGCCGAGATTGTCCCGTTGACGGAACTGGGACTCTACGATGACCAGCCGATCGTCATCCCAGAGATTCATCACAAGAAGAGACCAGTCTCAGCTACGGTGACTTCAGTGCAGATCTCCACGCAACCCGAGGTATCTACGCTGATGACAGACGAGCGATCCGTGGGCCACATCGCTACCACCGCAGAAAGGGCAGCAATACTACCACCGCAGACATTCAACCCGGGGGACTTCATGCAGCAGTTTTCCCAACAGATTATGGAAATGATGGAGCAGCGCTACGGCCTGGAGAAGAGATCACAGCAAGCCCACAGAGTTGACCCGAGCCTTCGCGAAGGCTCCAACGCAGTCGATGCTTCTGAGGGGCCATCCATCAACGTGACGTCTGGCAACAGATCTACTCTTCAGGACCAGCCTGCGCGACGATCGATTCAACCATCCCCTGCGGCGGACTCGGACGATCAGCATCCGCGAAGGCCCTCACAAAGGACGACTCGGTCATCCCCTGCTACGGATTCGGACGATCAGCATTCGCGAAGGCACTCGCGAAGGAAGACTCGCCCATCCCCGGATACGGAATCGGACAACCAGCATTCGCAAAGACGCTCACTAAGGACCAGTCGCCTATCCCCAGATGCGGAATCAGATGATCAGTATTCTCAAAGGCACTCGCGAAGGGCTACAGATACAGTATCCAAGAGATCTTCCGCATCACGCAGATCGTCAAGGGATTCACCGAGGCATTCGCGAACCCACAGTCGCTCATCTCCGCGCAGGTCACCCTACTGACGCAGATCGCCGGGCCACTCTCCACGCCAATCTCCATGCCGATCTCCACGCAGATCTCCGCGAAGGTCGCCCCGCAAGTCTCCGCGCAGGTCTCCACACAGATCCCCGCAGTCGCAAAGGTCTCCACCTAGATCACCATCGGAGGAGGATCAACGTCCCTTACTCAGCACTCCTGTCACTGAGGACGACGGCGGGATCATCTTCTCGGACTCTGAAATACGCTACTGGATGGCCAACGGTCTAGACTTGGCGTCACCCTCTAAGGACGATAATACGGCTCATACCTATCTCATGCAAGATTATGATGTTGACACGATCACTCTCCCTACGATGGATCCCATCGCAGTGGTCCCAGACAACTTGGACGCAGCCTTCAAGAAAGCCACGAAAGCCCAGGCGCCGCATCTGCCACAGTTCAACGCCAAAAAGTTCTCTTCCCACAACATGGATCCGTTCCTGAAGGCACAGGACATCGATGAGAACTTTAAAGTCATCAGTGATGCCAAGGCCAAGTCTTACAAAATCGAAGACAAGAAGTTGGCACAAGTCGAAACTATGACCAGGCGGATGTTCTTCGGCCTCAACAGATCAAGGGCAGTCAACGAAACGCTCATCGCTAAATTCCGAGACTCTACTGCGGAAGAAGACAGGATGATATACTCGGCCCTCCTTATGCAGAAGAAGGACCAACAGTTTATGACAGACCATCTCTCATCCATCTCCGCAGCGCTGACACTAGCACGTCGACAAGGTCTCCTCGCCTCCTGCAGTTGGAGTGAGCGCTTCACCAAGTCACTCTACACAGCCCCGTGGTCAACTCCTTCCATCTTCGCTGGAGAGATCGACGAGGTTGCCAAGGAAGTTACCAAAGACTCTAGAGAGGTCCTCATGATCAGATCCATAGATACTCTGGCCAGCGTCATCAGGCAGACATCCCAGCGCTACTCGGGCAGGTCCAAGTTTCCCGGGATACAGAAAGCACGGGACAAGAAAGTGGGTTCCTCCAGAGGTGGAAAAGATTCCTTTCGGCGCCCAGCCGGCAATTACAGAGCAAGGTCCGGACGAGGCAGGGCACCCAGAGGCGCCAGGGATCATCGACGATGAAAGAAGGGTTCGGAACGACTGGAGTCTTCCACCCCCAGCGTTCCTGTACAACCTTCACTAGTGGGTGGATGTCTTCAGCTGTACTCGGAAAACTGGGGAATACTTCAAGATCCGTTTGTATCCAGCATCCTAAGAGACGGATATCGCATACAACTACAGGCCGCTCCGCCGCTTACAGTCGACCCTCACAAGTTCGACTTCCAGACCCATCAGATAGAGAAATTACGAGAGGCGGTCTCATCTCTACTAGTAAAGCGAGCCATAGAGGTCGTGGATCAAGCCAACATCACACCAGGTTTCTACTCCCCAGTTTTCCTAGTGCCAAAGAAAAACTCCAAAGAATAGTTCCGACTCATCTACAATATGAGCACTTTCAACAGAGACTATCTAAGCAGACCTCCAAAGTTCCGCATGATACATCTACCTCAACTAATCCACCTCGTCCGTCCGATGGACTACATGGCCAGCATAGATCTACAGGATGCCTACCTCCATATTCCTGTACATCCAGACTCGAGGAAGTACCTCAGGTTTACACTGGACGGGCTACACTACCAATGGAAGGTCCTGCCATTTGGAATATCATCGGCCCCCTGGTTGTTTACAAGGGTGACGAAACCCATAGTCACATATCTACATCATCGAGGTCTACGCAGTGCCTTCTACCTCGACGACGGGATTCAAGTACATCAAGATCCCAAGCGTCTCAGACTACAGTTGAACTTCACCATCAAACTGCTTACACAGCTGGGGTGGTTAGTGAATCTACTCAAGTCGGACCTAGAACCTACACAGGACCTGCAGTTCCTAGGCATCAGATTTCTCGTGACGCAGAACCGCATCGTCGTACCAGAGGACCGATGGCTCAAGATTCAACAGACAATCTCACAAGCCCTACTCTCTCTGTGGCCACTACGACAATGGCAGAGTCTGTTGGGTCTCCTCACGTCCGCACAAGACATGACAGCCAGAGGGAGATTACAGCTACGCCCGCTACAGGTCCTCATCAATGCTCATCTCGACGACCCAGACCCCTTCGGTCTCCCAGACTACCTCAGACCTCATCTACTATGGTGGACCCAGAGATTGAATGTCTGCGAAGGCATCTATTTAGCAGAGCCGGAGTGCAAGACTCATCTGTATGTGGACGCATCACTCCAAGGTTGGGGAGCACACCTCGACAACGATGTGGCGGCTGGGAAATGGATCAAGGAAGAGAAAAGTCTGCACATCAACATGCTGGAAATGAAAGCAGTTGTCAACTCCATACTCCACTGGAGCAACATTCTACAGAATGCGCATCTCATGGTACACACGGACAACTCCACAGTGGCGTTCTACATAAACAAGCAAGGATCAACATGATCATTGAACCTGCTGGACCTCTGCTTTCAACTGTTCGACCTAATCGACGATCTGAACATCCACATAAGAGCATGCCACATTCCAGGAGCCAAGAATGTCATAGCAGACGCCCTCTCTCATCCAACTCAACCATCTCCAACGGAATGGATGCTACATCCCGTGATCTTCAAACAGATCATCAAGGAGATGGGAGCCCCTCTAATAGACCTCTTCGCCACACGCTTCAACAATCAGCTGACAACATTCGTCTCTCCAGTACCAGATCCACGAGCGTGGGCAATGGACGCTCTCAGCATATCCTGGGAAGGACTAAACGCGTACGCGTTTCCACCGCCAGCGCTAGTACCGAGGG